GCCGGGCCAGCCCCTTGGACTGGACACAAGGAGGACATAAAATAAGGTCCTAGCCCCCATGGTAGCAGCGGTGGCAGTTCTCCAAGGGCTTGGGGGTTTTCCTGAGGTAGGAGAGGAGGGGACTGATTTTTAGCGCCCCCTCCCCACACATCCCCCCCATGCACTGTGCCACAGCCTTGGCCCAGGCTTGGAAGCTAGAATACACTTTGAATTTGATCTTTACAAAAAAACTCCAAACTTGTATCGGTATCTTACTTAAAAGCAAAATCTTTAAGGAATTAATTCCATGATATGTTAACAATTCTACTCGGTAAATACGACAACATGAGAGAAGAGATAAAAACAAAAAAAAAGTTGATTGTATTTGTAGTTTCTGACCATACTTTGTTTACATAAAAGCTTACAAGATCCCTTATCTGTTATATTTCACATTCATGGTAAATTAAAGTGTTTGTATTTCAATATACATAATTCCAAATCAGTAACTTAAGTTCAATTAACATTTTCATTCTTATGAGTAATAATTAAGGTTGTTTACTTTGGGTGACAAAAAAATAAATGTAACCCATGAATTTGCTAAATGTTTTCCCTCTTTAGATTTTCTAACAGCATGCTGTTATTTATCATAGCTGGTTTTATAACAGTTTAGAAAAAGCTCTTTCACAGAGTTGTTTACAACACTTCAAATTTACAAAATCATGTTAATCATTCCATGGCAATGCAATTTTAGACTGCAGATTTTCTGTTATTCTCCTATTCTTTTTCCATTAAATGTGTACTGCGTCCAGCACTTGAACAACCACCAAAAAAAATGTATTCTCTGGAAATAAAGTACTAATATATGCTACAACATAAAAGAACTTGAAAATATAATGCTAAATGGAAGAAGCTTTTCACAAAGGACCACACACTACATGATTTTCTTTATATGAAATGTCTGGAATAGGCAAATCTATAGAGAAGGTAAGTAAATTCATGATTGCCTACGACTGGAGAGGATGGAAAGTTAGGAGATGACGGCTAAGGAGTACTTGATTCCTTTTTGGATAATAAAAATATTCTAAATTGACTGTGGTAATATATGCACAACTCTGAATAACACAAAAGCCACTGAATTATATACTTTAAATGGAGGAATATAAAGTATATGAATTATATCTCAATAGAGCCTTGAAAGAACATTAGTAAAACCTTGCAATTCTTCTTCAGGTTGGTACAGTGGTAAGTAATTAACCTACTAATCACTTATTTATGTATTGTTTAACAAAATTCCATAAAATACATGGTTTGAAAAGGAAGACTCAGATACCTAAAATTACCTACTCTGACTGAACTATTAAACTACTGATGTGGGATGTGAATCACTTCACATACTGTTTCCCTAAAAAAGTCTCCAAACTATGTAGTTACTCGCTTTTTTTTTCACTCATGCTACTTCCCAGAGGTACCAATTATGGGACACTGGGAGAACAACAACAATTTGACTTAAAAACACTATTCCATGTAAATTATTAGAAAAGAACAACAAAGTTGAAAAGTTTTAAAAGTGAACTGGCTAGGATAAATTGTTTTTTTGTTTTGTTTTGTTTTTTAATTTTTTAATTTTTTTTATTACCACTGCATGGCTACGCAAGATGAGTTTTTTTTTTTTTTTTTTTTTTAATTGTTGTTGTTCTCCCAGTGTCCCATAATGGGTACCTCTGGGAAGTAGCATGAGTGAAAAAAAAAAAGCGAGTAACTACATAGTTGTGAGACTTTTTTTAGGGAAACAGTATGTGAAGTGATTCACATCCCACATCCAGTAGTTTAATAGTTCAGTCAGAGTAGGTAATTTTAGGTATCTGAGTCTTCCTTTTCAAACCATGTATTTTAATGGAATTTTGTTAAACAATACATAAATAAGTGATTAGTAGGTTAATTACTTACCAACTGTACCAACCTGAAGAAGAATTGCAAGGTTTTACATAATGTTCTTTCAAGGCTCTATTGAGATATAATTCATATACTTTATAATTCCTCCATTTAAAGTATATAATTCAGTGGCTTTTTGTGTATTCAGAGTTGTGCATATATTACCACAGTCAATTTTAGAATATTTTTATTATCCCAAAAAGGAATCAAGTACTCCTTAGCCGTCATCTCCTAACTTCTCCATCCTCTCCAGTCGTAGGCAATCATGAATTTACTTACCTTCTCTATAGATTTGCCTATTCCAGACATTTCATATAAAGAAAATCATGTAGTGTGTGGTCCTTTGTGAAAAACTTCTTCCATTTAGCATTATATTTTCAAGGTTCTTTTATGTTGTAGCATATATTAGTACTTTATTTCCAGAGAATACATTTTTTTTGGTGGAATGTTCAAGTGCTGGACGCAGTACACATTTTAATGGAAAAAGAATAGGAGAATAAAACAGAAAAATCTGCAGTCTAAAATTGCAATTGCCAATATGGAAATGATTAACATGATTTTGTAAATTTGAAGTGTTGTAAACAACTCTGTGAAAGAGCTTTTTCTTAAAACTGTTATAAAACCAGCTATGATAAATAACAGCATGCTGTTAGAAAATCTACAAGAGGGAAAACATTTAGCAAATTCATGGGTTACATTTATTTTTTTTGTCACCCCAAAGTAAACAACCTTAATTATTACTCATAAGAAATGAAAATGTTAATTGAACTTAAGTTTACTGATTTGGAATTATGTATATTGAAATACAAACACTTTAATTTACCATGAATGTGAAATATAACAGATAAGGGATCTTGTAAGCTTTTATGTAAACAAACAGTATGGGTCAGAAAACTACAAATACAACTCAACTTTTTTTTGTTTTTATCTCTTCTCTCATGTTGTCAGTATTTACCGAGTAGAATTGTTAACATATCATGAGATTTAATTCCTTAAAAGATTTTGCTTTTTAAGTAAGATACCAGATACAAGTTTGGGAGTTTTTTTGTAAAGATCAAATTCAAAGTGTATTCTAGCTTCCAAGCCTGGGCCAAGGCTGTGGCACAGTGCATGGGGGAGGGGATGTGTGGGGAGGGGGCGCTAAAAAATCAGTCCCCTCCATCTCCTACCTCAGGAAAACGCCCAAGCCCTTGGAGAACTGCCACCGCTGCTACCATGGGGGCTAGGACCTTATTTTATGTCCTCCTTGTGGTCCAGTCCAAGGGGGCTGGGAGGGAGGCAGAAAGGGCCCAGGCCTGGCTGGGGTGGATTGGGCCAACTACCCTAGGGTATGGACTTGTTAAAAATTTGTGATTGGATTTTGGATTAGAAGTTCATTTAGGTAATTTCACTAATGAATGTGCAGTAAAGAGTTTCATAATATATCTGTGAGGGTAGCAACCGAAAGAGAATCTGAAAGTCGACGAAATAGGAGAGGAAAGGTATAGGAAGTTTCAAAATCATGCGAAGCCAACATTACAATCCAAGTCTTTCCAGAAATGGCAAAAACAAACAAACAAATGCAAAGTATATTCTAAATTATGAAGAAATGGTTATAGAAGATTATTGCACAATAATATAAAATTATCATGAATGTCATTCAACTTCTTTAAAGGCATGACCAAGGTCAAAGTGGGTAAAGAAGATTCATCATCCACTGAGTTTGTTGAAAAACGGAGAGCAGCTCTTGAAAGGTAATTCTAGACAACTATACTTTATACCTCTCATGTTTGTACTTAAGTAATATAAATCCAATTCCATTATATGGCATAACTATATTTTAATAATTAAATTATTTTCAAAGTACCACTTGTGGCCGGACGTCGTGGCTCACGCCTGTAATCCTAGCACTCTGGGAGGCTGAGGCAGGCGGATCGCTCAAGGTCAGGAGTTTGAAACCAGCTTGAGCAAGAGCGAGACCCTGTCTCTACTATAAATAGAAAGAAATTAATTGGCCAACTAATATATATAGAAAAAATTAGCTGGGCATGGTGATGCATGCCTGTAGTCCCAGTTACTTGGGAAGCTGAGGCAGGAGGATTGCTTGAGCCCAGGAGTTTGAGGTTGCTGTGAGCTAGGCTGACGCCATGACACTCACTCTAGGCTGGGCAACAGAGTGAGACTCTGTCTCAAAAAAAAAAAAGTACCACTTGATAACCCTTAAGAGTGCTTTAAACTTTCCTTAAGAAAATGGCTTCTTTCCGCAACACAATGCTGTATCCTTATTCTGTTTTTATTAATCCTAATTAATAGTCTAATAAAATAATACCTATTTTCATACCATAAGCTACAAGCAGGACTATAAAGGCATGAATTATTTGAGGATAGAATTACATCAGAGATGTAGTCACCAAGAATACTAAGAAACTGCTAGGCTTATAAAAGGGAAACAAGTTGTGAATGGAGGGAAACAGTTGAGAAAAATATTTTAATATATTTAATATATATTTATTAAATGTTTTAATATTATAATACCACTTTGATATTATTTAAGTTTTTAGGAAGTTATACCATATTCATGTACTGTGATGATAATATAGCTAATTATAATTCATCTAAATTAATTTTTGAGTTATTGTTAAGAACAATACTAAATACAATGAAAAATGCAGTTTATACCCCCTCATTTTTGTATAATTGATTTTGACTTGAATGTACAAAAATATTAGTCACTGCTTGAGTTGACTGTATACAGTTGGCCCTCCATATCTGTGGGTTTCATATCTGTGGACTCAACCAACCATGGATGGAAAATATTTGAAAACAAAAATTGTACTGAACATGCATACACTTTTTTGCTTGTCATTATTCCCTAAACAATACAGTTTAACAACTATTTATTAATACATAGTACTTATATTAGGTATTATAAGTATTCTAGAGGTGATTTAAAGTATACAGGAGGATGTACATGAGTTATATACAAATACTAGACCATTTTATATCAGGGACTTGAACATCCTCAGATTTTGGTATCCTCAGGAGGTCCTGGAACGAATCCTCAACAAATACTGAGGGGCAGTTGTACTTACAGACTAATGTATGTGCTCTGTTTTCCTTTAGAGTACTTTACTCTATACATTTCCTACATCTTTGAACCCTTGTCTTCATTATAGCAGACTAAAAGGGGAATGAATGAGAGGAATCCATTCCCAGAATCTTAACATCTATTCCTTGCTAATGCTGAAAGTAGGGAAAACAAATTTGAAACTTTCTTAAAGCCCAGCATTTAGAATATAAGCTGGTAATTGCCTAGGCTTTCTCGTTTCATAGGTTTTTTTTGTTTGTTTGCTCTTTAGTTTCTCTTTGGCTTAAAATCAGTGGTTGGGGTGGGTAAGAGGTTTTTGGGGTAGTGTGTATTTCTCCAGGTACAAATTATTTTTTAAAACTATTTTCAAGGCAACTTATTTCTTCTTTTTAGTAGTAAATTGTTTAAACTTTAAGAAAATGCCATGTAGTAAAGTCAGATTTGAATAATATGCAGTAAGAAAAGGTGAAGAATATGCAGTTTAAAATCTTATTTTAGAGACAAAAGATGGGATTATGTCTATGAGAATTAGCAAAGGATTTAAGTTGCATCAAGAGAAGTTTAGGTTAGGCATTTGAATTAATTGTGTTGTAAGAGTGGTCATAGACTGAATATTTTTAGTCTATGGTATAAAGGTAGATAATGTTCTGCCTTGATTTCACTTAAGTCTTTCCTGAAAATGTAACCATGACCCTTTGAGAGACCTTTCAGGTCTTATTTTTCTATGAGTAAATTTGAAATATTTCAGATGGCATACTTGATAAGAAACTTAATGAAGATTTATTGTACCAAGGACATATAATTTGATTCTACATTCACCTTTCTTCTAACTTGACTGCATTGTATAGTACTTGCCATATCTTCATGTAGTATGAAATTCTAAGGAGAATTTTAAGGGAATATTGAAACCTGACCCAGTGTGTGTGTAAAAATAGTTTCCTTACTGATAAATGTTAGTGGAAAAAAACAAACAGTATGGTAATGAGGGAAAACTCATTTTTAGTTATAAAAAATAACCAAAGCATATATAGGCATAGAAGTGTAGAAGCAAAGCAACTGGAATGATTTATTTAGTTTTAATGTAATCCTAATTCTCTCTTCTCTGCCAATTTTAATCAGTTCCTGTGCAGATTTTTAAAAATCTGTACATGATTTATTTTATTATTGAAAAAAAAATTTTTTTAGAGCATCTTGCTCTGTTGCCAAGGCTTGAGTGCAGTGGTGCAATCGTAGCTCACTATATCCTTGAATTCCTGGGCTTGAGCGACCTGACTTATCCTCCCAAATAGCTAGGACTACAGGTGCATGCCACCACACCTGGCTAATTTTTTATTTTTATTTTTTTGTAGAGAATGGGTCTCACTGTGTTGCCTAGGCTGTGTACAGGATTTTAAAACTGCGTTTTTCTTACCCTTTCATGTAGCCCATTTTTCTGAAGCAATTTTTCTGCGGCATTTTTTCAACTTAAAACATTAGAAGAGGTGTATCTGTGGAATACCCGACCTAGTTGGATCTGGAGGGTCAGGGAAGTATTTCTCTTTATATAGCTTTATTTAATAGTATAATATTTGCTTAAATATTTATTTGAATCCAGATGACTATCTTGTACAAAAGGATAACATCTGGTATTAAAAGCTCAGAAGAGAAAGGGAGTGGTTACGCAAGTACTTTCCTGAGCCACATTCAATAAAGTAAACAGAGACCACTTCTATTGAGTATCTCTAACATCACTTGCTTGGTTTTCTTGAGAGTGCTTCATGTCTTAAGATCATATTGAGTTTATTTTATAGCTAAGGATACTCTTCTGCAAATATAAAATGAGAAATTTAGAGGAGCATGATAATGGTGTAAAAGATTTCAGTTGCAGCCTACACTACACTACACTATACTATCCACTACCTGTGTGGCCTTTTGAGCAAGTTACTTAAATGCATTCTTTAGAGTATAAGTGTGTCAGTTAGGATTGTGTTCATTTCAGTCTAAAAACTCAACTGAGAAAGCTTAAACATTTCATGTAAATTAATTAATCCATTCTTTCATATTAAGGAGTTTGGAAGTAAGAAGCTGTTTAGGATTCATAAGGAAATGCTGTTGCTTCCTTCTTTATCTCAAATACGACTACTAGTCCAAAGGCCTTAATTAACTGCAGTAGCCTCCTAATTGGTCCTCATGCTTCCATTCTTGGTACTTTTCCTCATTTTTAATGTAGCAACTAGAGTTATCCTTTTAAAATATAAATTAGATCGTATTAACCACCTATTTTAAATAAAAGCCAGAATACATATAATGGACTACAAGACTCTACATAACCAGCACGTCTCACTGTTACCTATTTGATCTCATATCCTTCTTGATTACTCACTCTTCCCTGGGCCACACAGACCTTTCTGCTGCTTCTCAAACATTCCAGGCATTTTCCTACCTTAGAGTCTTTTCACCGGCTGCTCTCTCTGCCTAGAATGCTTTGTTCCCAGGTGTCTGCATGGCTTACTCTCATTCCTTTTTTCAAGTTCAAATGTTCAAATACCACCTTTGCAGTTAAGCCTCTTCTTATCATTGGCTTAATTCTGACCTATTCTGTATAAATTGCCATTAACCACATCTTAAACACTTGGTCCCATTTACCCTATTGTTCTGTCCTTTCTTATTTTTCTATAACACTTGCAACTTTGTCACATAATGTATATGTTTATTATTTATAGTTTATTGTTTATCCTCTTGTACTAAAATATAAGCTTCACCAGGGAAGGGATCTTAGTCTCTTTGCTCATGTGTTTCAAGTACTCAAAACAGTAACTGATATGTATAAAGAGCTCAGTAAATATTTGTTAAGTGAACAAATGAATGTCATCTAGTACCCAGGCTCACTCTGCCTTTCTTTCTGTTCTCTCATTCTGAGCACTTGTGTTTGAGTTTCAACCAAGAAAAATATGTTTTAACTTTGTTGCTCTCAAATGTTTCATATAACCTACTTTCTTTTGTTTTGGTTTTGGTAAGTAAACAGAAACGTGAAAGCCCTAAATGATTGTTCTAAATTTATCAGTAACTTTTACTTGGAGCAAATCTGAGGATGGTCAACTACTAACCACCTCTTACTGGGTGTGATACTTTCATCAATTCCATTGTGTCTTTCATTTATGTCTGTCTTCAGTGTTTCTGTTTCTCCCCATACCTCTTTTTATGTCTTCGTCCTACACTCCTTTCACTTTTTTGTTCTGTATCCTTCCTTTATGTATCTATAACTATCTATGTTCTGAATTCTGAATTGGTGTATATTTATAACTATTCCTTGTTATAAAATCCTTTTTATGTTTCTGTTCTTAATTTTAACATAATGTAAGACGTGTGTGTGTGTGTGTGTGTGTGTGTTTTAATTAGTTGCTCTTGGCCAGTGCAGTGGCTCACACCTGTAATCTCAGCACTTTGGGAGATGAAGACAGGAGGATTGCTTAAGGCCAGAAGTTTGTGACCAGCTTGGGCAATATAGCAAGCTTCTATCTCTACCAAAAATATTATTAAAAAAGAACATTAACCAGGCCTGATGACATGGGCCAATAGTCCCAGCCACTCGGGAAGATGAAGTGAGAGGATCACTTGAGCTCAAGAGTTTGAGGTTACAGAGAGCTATGATTACACCACTGTACTCCAGTCTGGGCAACAGAGCAAGACTCTTGTCTCAAAAAAAATTTGTTGCTCTTTACTTTCACGTAACCTTTAAGAAGGAAAGTTTTACTGTCTGTTAATAGAATATCATTTTTCAAAACTGATTCCTCAGACTGCTAATATGTGATAGGGTAAAAAAGGGATCTCTAGTCAATTGAGTTTTTTTGGAGACAGAGTCTCACTCTGTTGCCCAGGCCAGAGTGCCGTGGCGTCAGCTAGTCACAGCACCTCAAACTCCTGCTTAAGCAATCCTTGTCTCAGCCTCCCAAGTAGCTGGGACTACAGGATGTGCCCACCATGCCTGGCTAATTTTGTATATATTTTTAGTGTGCCAGCTATTTCTTTCTATTTTTAGTTGAGACAGTGGGTTCAGCCTCTTGCTCAAGCTGGTTTGAACTCCTACATCTCCAGCAGTCCCCCACTTGACTCAGAGTGCTAGGATTCAGTGACCAACCACAAGGGTTAGGGGGGCCGGAGTTTTACATAGGGTTTAACAACTTAAACTAGGTATCATTCTATAGGCTTTTATTAGATAAAAATTGTAATTTGAATTACAAGGTTTACAGCGAGCTAGATAGATTGGGTCAAGTCTTTGACAAGGGACTGTCTCAAAAAAACAAAAATTAGGAGAACATCATTAAGGTATTTCAAACTTTTTTTTATTATAGAATCATTCTTTTCATGGGATAGTACATGAGGCTAATAGCTGCAGAATTCACTTTGTACAGCTGTTTTAGAATATAAATATTAGGTGTTTCTGTTTATGTTTGAAATATTGAAATTTTATAAACTAGTTGGGTACTAGATGTCCTTCCTGCTTGTTTACTGTACAAATATCTGAGTACCTGCTATTACCTAGCTATTGTATACACTGAGATGAACAATTTATGCAAACTACTTTCAAGTAGCATTCAATCCAAAAAACTAATTACCTAATAGTGTTGGGAGATTTTAGTGTTAAAATTGTAAGTCAAATTCCAGTGGGAAAAGTACCACCATTTCTCAGATTTACAAGATTAGTGTTCTTGCTGCATCTCATTTTTGGCTTCATAGTAGAGGCAGCAAATTTTTTTTTTTTTTTTTGAGACAGAATCTCACTCTGTTGTCCAGGCTAGACTGCCATGGCATCAGCCTAGCTCACAGCAACCTTAGACTCCTGGGATCAAGCAATCCTTCTGCCTCAGCCTTTCTAGTAGCTGGGACTAAAGGCATGCGCCACTATGCTTGGCTAATTTTGTTTTTATATATATTTTTAGTTGACCAATTAATTTCTGTTTTTAGTAGAGACGGGGTGTCGCTTTTGCTCAGGCTGGTTTCAAACTTCTGAGCTCCAATGATCCTCCCACCTCGGCCTCCCAGAGTGCTAGGATTATAGGCATGAGCTACCGCTCCCAGCCAGCAAATATTTTTTTAAACTACAACATATATTAGATTGCACATATCTATTAAACACTCTTTTTTTAGTCTAAGGACTCCTTATAGGGACTACTGACTTAAAATGAAGTTTAATATGGTATGTTTTATTTAAATGTATAAAAACAGAAGTTAACATGTAAGCACTATAGTCATTTTGACCATTGTATAAAATTCGACTTTAGAGAAGTTTATTCGTTTTTTTCAGATACTTTGTTAATTTTAGGCACATTTTATAATCTTGTAAAAAGATAGAAGAAATTACTGTGTATATTCTAAAGAAATAGAATGAATGTATATTGTGAGGTCATATATTGTAACTGAAATATTTTATATAATTAATGTGGGGGAAAATAACAATTTTTTAAAAAAATGGGATTAGACAAGTAATCAAGAATCATCAAATATTAATAGTTGACCTTATTTCCGTTTATGGAATCATGATTCATGATTTATTATGCATGACAAGCAAATGTGAGCTTTTCTAGTATGGAAAATGATTGAAGTTGGACAAATAGCAATTTCATGATGATGTTTTTCTTTACATTTTCATTTTTGTTTTATGTGGTATCACATTTAGATAAGACATTTACCAAAAGTAGAAAAACCTTAGTTATAGAAATATTCAAGAAATAGCTTTGAAGAGGTGTAGGGAAAAAAGAAAAGATGTATTAAAGAAAATTTAGTTCTTTTTAAATGAGGACCAAAGCTGATTATGATCATTTAAATCTGCTGACAAGCAAAAAAATTCCTAGACTCTTTCCCATGTTGGTGATAATAGCAATTTAAAATTTTTTTGAGTGGAATATATATAGTAATATATGACTTAGAACTCTAAATTTACAACTGGGAACATACTGACTCCACTTGAAGATTAAATTATTCAACAGGCTCATATACCCTTTTACAAATTTAATATTTTGCAGAGAGGTTTGGTAAGTTATTTAACCCTCCCCATTCCCACCCCCACCCACATGTCATTTCTCTTTTTATGTAATTATGAAAAGGAGTAGGGTATCAATTTTCAAAAGATGAACAAAAAGCTTTTTAATTATTAAATTGCTGTAAGATTCTAAATAATTACACTGAGGGCAGACAGGAGGCACAGTGAGAATCTTTTTTCCTAGTTATTTTGTTTTTTATTATTTTGTTGAAATAGGATTTAAAATAAAATGCTACTGATAAAGGAGCAATTTTACTCTTAAATCTAGGTATCTTCAAAGAACAGTAAAACATCCAATTTTACTGCAGGATCCTGATTTAAGGCAGTTCTTGGAAAGCTCAGAGGTATTATTTCTACTTTGAAATTTTGTATATGAATTTTCTCATTTGTCATTGTAATAATTTATATGATAGATACACGGTAAAAATTGGACTAATAGATGGAATAAAGCAATTTTTTCATTTTACTTAGTGATTTAATTACTTAACTAAATCACTAGCAAAGTATCTTCTTTGCATTGATATCAGTAGGATTATCTGGCCCTTTCTTGAAAATTTAAAACCGTATTTAAGAAAATGATTTGTCAGTAGTCTGGCTCTGAATACCCTAAGTTGTTGCTTAGGCATCATGTTGAAATAAGTTATTCAAACCTCATTTTAGAGAAAGTTGAATGTGTTTGTCTACATCTATCTAATATCTTTATTAAGGTTTTAAAATGCAAATATGTGACTTGAAAGAGCATAAATTGTAACCATGATGCTGATTATATTTGAGATGTTTGGTACATAATGGGCTCTTTAGAACAGTTTAGAGTTCTAGTTTGAGATTTTTTTTTTAATTTACTTGAGTCCCAGAATTTTTTAAAAACTCAAAAACCACACAATCCTAACTGAGCATAAGATTTTTCTCAAGACTTACTTCTTTCCTTATAAACAGTTTATTTCTGTTGGCAAACAGGTGACTAGTGTTAGGGTGCTTGGCAATTTCTTAATATATTTTGACAAACAAGGTGTTTGTTCCATCTAAATGTAAACGTGCAGAAGAAAAGCAAATAGAAAGTCTATTTTTTAAGTTTTCCTTTGAGAATGTACAAGTAGTATATTTGAGAAATTAGATCTCACTATTGAAATGTATGAGAGTGAAGAAAATACAACCTCCTTTTCTTTCTTTCTTATTTTTTATTTTGGGAGAAGTGGGGGTTGCGTTTGTGCCCAGTTAAACCTCCAAGCTTTTAACTGGTTTGTTTGCCCTTATTTGTCATTCAATTCCAGCTGCCTAGAGCAGTTAATACACAGGCTCTGAGTGGAGCAGGAATATTGAGGATGGTGAACAAGGCTGCCGACGCTGTCAACAAAATGACAATCAAGATGAATGAATCGGATGCAGTAAGAGCTGATTTTTCGACTTGAATAATGAGATGAATTAATGAGCCCAACAATTGCATTTTAAAGCTGTACAAGTAGAAAATAGGATATTAATTTGCTTATTGAGTTTAGTTCTCAGCCACATCAGTTGACCACCATGGTTATACATGGTTAATTTGTTGCTTTAAAACAAGGAATGTGGCTTGCTATTGGTAACCTAATTTACAATGGTTTGTTCTTCCTAAATTAGCTCCATTTTTCATTTTTTTTCTTAGTGGTTTGAAGAAAAGCAGCAGCAATTTGAGAATCTGGATCAGCAACTTAGGAAACTTCATGCCAGTGTTGAAGCCTTGGTCTGTCATAGAAAAGGTTTGTTTGCCTTGTTATTTGTATGTTTAGCACCATAAAGCTAATTAAAATATTTTATTTAAATTTTATTAAAATAAACACTCCGAAGTTATTGTAGAAAAGAGAAAACAATAGTTTAAGAGAATGTTTTCCATTTCAACTTCATTATTTAAAATTTCTTGTTCTATTTTTATCTAAAATCTAGTTTAGAAGTAGAAAAATCCTGAGTTTATAAAACTATATTTGAATTTTGGATTAAAAATGTGTGTAGAGGCCAGGCACGGTGGCTCACGCCTGTAATCCTAGCTCTCTGGGAGGCCGAGCCGGGCGGATCGTTTGAGTTCAGGAGTTCGAAACCAACGTGAGCAAGAGCGAGACCCCGTCTCTACTATAAATAGAAAAATTAATTGGCCAACTAATATATATAGAAAAAATTAGCCGGGCATGGTGGCGCATGCCTGTAGTCCCAGTTACTCGGGAGGCTGAGGCAGGAGGATTGCTTGAGCCCAGGAGTTTGAGGTTGCTGTGAGCCAGGCTGATGCCATGGCACTCACTCTATCCTGGGCAACAAAGCGAGACTCTGTCTCAAAAAAAAAAACAACAAAAAAAACTGTTGGTCACTTGATTAATTCTTTGTTAAGTGTATTTATAAATTAACAGATGAAGATATCCTATCAATTAGTAACTTCGATATAATAAAAACTTGAGATTCAAAAGTTGGTATTTGAAAATTTTCTTGAAAAATACTTGTTTTGTGTCTCTATCTCTTGGCAAACTCTTTGAAAGATTTTCTTCATTTTTGAACCACAGTATTTAAAAATCTGGGGCATTTTTAGTAAAAATTTCTAGAAAATTTGAGTTGTAAAATTTTAATCCACAATAAGGGATTTGTTTTTTTTTTGTTTGTTTGTTTTGTTTGGTTTATTTTTAAAGAGCCCAAGGCTTTTAGTATCAGTTGTATTAAATATATGTATTAAATATCCAAAATATTTAACACATAATTAATATGTGATGTTAACCAGCAATACATTTCATTAAGATGATTATAGAAGCCTATTAATACATTTATTATTAAGAGTAGTTTGTAGCAACTTTTGCCATTTGGTTTACATATTTCTTTTTTTTTTTTTTTTTGAATTGCAGGAATGGGTTTTCTTTTATTTTAGCGTATTATGGGGGTACAAGTGTTAAAGGTACATATATTGCCCTTGCTCCCCCTCCCCCCTGGTTTACATACTTCTTAAGGAATGGGCTTTATGGCTCTTTTGGAGGACCTTGCATAATATAGAGCAACGGAACAGTTTCCAGGCAATGTAATTGTTAGTCATTGACAGCATCTAGGCCTATCTACATCTGCTTTATTTAAAATAACTGATATGGTCATGTTCAAAAATATTTTTAGAAATTCTGTTTTACTGAGTGCTGTTACACAATGAAGAAAAAAACAGTAAGATTTATATGAATTGTATGTACAATTTTACCTTGTTTCTCTCCTGTTAGCTAAATAATATTCTCATTAAAAATCATAGATATTATTTTCAGTGACAAATGTTTAAAGGCCCAAAATGTAGTATAAATCAATTTTGAGTGTTCCTAATGCTTCTCATATTAAAAATATATTTCTTTGGGAAAGGACAGAGAAAGAATGAGCACTTTGGCAGAGAAACAAGAGGCAGATTATTGTATTACATTATTTAAATACAGTTCATCCCCTGGGAATATAGGTAATAGTTCTTTTTAATTTTCAGTAGATTTCTGAACACTTGCTATTTATTTATGCGCAAGGCATTTTAATGACTAATTGTTTTATGTTAATTAATTTGAAATATTGTTTGAGCAATTTGTGAATAGATAAAGTTTAGAGAAAAGTAGAAAGTTAATACAATATTTTAAAGTTTTACTAGTGAACACTAAAAGTGGATACTTTCTTTATTTCAGAACTTTCAGCCAATACAGCTGCCTTTGCTAAAAGTGCTGCCATGTTAGGTAATTCTGAGGATCATACTGCTTTATCTAGAGCTTTGTCTCAGCTTGCAGAAGTTGAGGAGAAGATAGACCAGTTACATCAAGAGCAAGCTTTTGCTGACTTTTATATGTTTTCAGAACTACTTAGTGACTACATTCGTCTTATTGCTGCAGTGAAAGTAAGCCCTGTTTTACAGTCTTTCTTGCATTCTTCTGACTTCAGTGGTTTGCTTTAAAAAGAGTTTTATATCCTATTAGTCACGTATTTAATTGTGTGAATTCTTTACTGTACTAGAATATATAAAATGGCTTCAAATGGGTATTCATAACTAAATATTTTCTACCCCTTTGACTTGGACAGTACATTAGAGAGAATTAATATTTTTAAGAGGTCTAAGGAATGCTAAATAACATAGAAAACTCTACACATTTACTTATATATTTAAGATATAAGTTTGCAACTAACTGATAGCATTTATGTGCTCATTCTATTACTAACTGAAACTACGCACTAGACTCTATTATCGTTAGTAAAGCTGACTGTGTAGTATGACGTAGGGTAAAACCAGAAATGATTGCTGCACTGAATATGTTTAATGGGGTCTTGAATGATAAAGTGTGAATTTGGACTTTCTGTGTGTATACCCAAATGTGTAGTCATCATGTTTTTATAGATGAGATGGGACTAGAATAGATCATAAATTGTGCCGTCTAATGTTAATGTTTAAATATAAATAGCCTAATTTCTGAATAGTTAGGAAAGCAAACCAGTTAATAAAAATTAGTATTCTATAGATATCTCCAGTATTCAGACAGTTGAATTTAATGTTATTCAATCTATCATATGTTTCAGAAGATACTTTAAGATCTTATGATGTCTTTGAATTATTATTACAAATATTAGTTATCATTGGCTAGGGGGTAGTGGATATTTACATTTTACTTTGAATTTAAACATCTAGAAAGTTAATGAGATTTTGTTGCTTGCTTTCTTACACAAATTTTTACTAGCTGAAGTGTGTGACCTAATTATTACAGTATTCATCTACAGTCAGAACATTGAGATTGTATTTATTCATGGTTCTGTTCTCCAAGCACCTGGTGACAGTTATTACTACAGGGCTGTTTAGTACTTCCGAATGGTGTTTTCTTACATTTGGTAAAATTACCAGTATTACTAGGATTTACTCTTTTAAATGTTACTCTTTTTTCCCTATACGATGGATATTTATTTTCATTTATTTTTTATTTCAAAATATTAGGGGGTACATGGGACCCCCTAATAATGCTTTAGGTTACATGGATCATTTTTGCAATGCTTGAATCCTGGCTATAGGTGTGCCTGTCACCCAAATACTGTTCGAAGTACCCATTAGGTTGGTTTATTCCCCTCCCCTTAACTCCCCTCCCCCGGGTTGCTTTTCACTGAGTTTTACTTCCCTCTGTGCACTTGTTAGTTCCAATTTAATAGTGAGTACATGTGGTATTTGTTTTCCATTCTTAAGATAATTCACGTAGCAGAATGGTCTCCAGTTCCATCCAGACTGTTGCCAAAGCTAATAATTCATCTTTTTTTATGGCTGAGTACTCCATGGTAAACATATACCACATTTTATTAATCCATTCATGAATTGATGGGCACTTGGGTTGATTTCATATCTTTGCAATTATGAATTGTGCTGCAATAAACATTTGAGTGCAGGTGTCTTTTTAATAAATTGACTTCTTTTCCGTTGGGTAAGTACCCACTAGTGAAATTGCTGGATCAAATGGTAGATCTACTTTTAGTTCATTGAGGAGTCTCCATACATTTTCCATATAGGTTATACTAATTTGCAGTCCCACCAACTGTGTATAAAAATTAGTATTCTACAGATATCTCCAGTATTCAGACAGTTGAACTTAATGTTACTCAATCTATCATATGTTTCTTTTTCCAAGTGTTTCTTTTTCTCTGCATCCACGCTAGCATCTATTGTTTTTGGACATTTTAATAAAAGCCATTCTAACTAGGATAAGGTGATATCTTATTGTGGTTTTAATTTACGTGTCCCTGATGATTAGTGATGTTGAGCATTGTTTCATACGTTTATTGGCCATTTGTCTTTTTGGAAACATCTGTTCATGTCTTTTGCCCACTTTTTAGTAGAGTTTGTTTTTTCTTGCTGATTTGCTTGAGTTCTTTGTAAATTCTGGTTATTAGCCCTCATATGTATAGCTTGTGAATATTTTCTCTTGTTCTGTATGTTGTCTGTTTGTTCTGTTGATCATTTCCTTAGCTGTAAAGAAGCTTTTTAGTTTAGTCAAATCCCATTTATTAATTTTTGTTGTTCCTTTGATTGCCATTGGAGTCTGTTTCATAAATTCTTTGCCTAGGCTAATAAGAGTTTTTCCTATATTTTCCTCTAGAATTCTTTCATGCCTTAGATCTAAGTCATTTATCTTAAATTAATTTTTGTGAGTGGTGAGATGTAGGGTCCCATATCATTCTTCTGCATATTAAGGGTATCCAAATCAGGAAAGAGGAGGTCAAATTATCACTCTTTGCTGACAATATGATCTTGTACCTAGAAAAACCCAAAGATTCTACCAATAGTCTCCTGGTATTTATAAATCAGCAAAGTCTCAGGATACAAAATCATTGTACATAAATCAGTAGCATTTTTATGTACTAATACCAGTCAAGCCAAGAGTCAGATCAAAGACTCAATACCATTCAGGATAGCTACAGAGAAAATAAAATACCTAGCAATGTACTTATCCAAGGTGGTGAAAGATCTCTACAAGGAGAACTATGAAACTTTGAGGAAAGAAATCACAGAGAATACAAACAAATGGAAAAACATATCATGTTCACGGATAGGTAGAATCAACATTGTTAAAATGTCTATACTACCCAAAGTGATTTACAGATTTAGTGCAATTGCTGTGAAGTTACCAAAGTCTGACTTCACAGATCTAGAAAAGATAAAATTCTACACTTCATTTGAAATCTGAAAAGAGCCCAAATAACCAAAGCAATCTTAAAAAGAACAAATCTGGAGGCATCACATTACCAGATTTCAAACTATACTACAAGGCTGTAATAACCAAAGCAGCATGGCATTGGTACAAAAATAGAGACATAGACCAATGGAACAGAACAGAGAACCCAGATGTGAAACCATCTGCCTACAACCAACTGATCTTTGACAAAGCAGACAACAACGTACACTGGGGAAAAGAAGCCCTATTCAATAAATGGTGCTGGGAAAATTAAATGTTACTCTTTATGTTCTTGGTGATTAGTTTTTCTTTTCAGCTATTTAGAGATGTTAATATAGGCAGCAATTATCAGAATATACTTTAATATACAGGTAACGTGTGATACACAGAAATCCAGCTTATGGATGATGATTCCTATTTGTGTTGCACCTACACTGACCTCGTTCCAGAGCTCCCACTAGGTGTTGTAAAAAGTATGACATTTCAGAAAAACCCAGAGTTCAAAAAAGGGGAGTTGGACAGTGTCTATAAGAAGGCGTACCTGCAGAGAAGAGCTAGCCTGGGAAAAGACTCCCTAGTAGAGATGGCCTGCCCATGTAAAGGATATTGATCCCTCAAAAATGGCTTTCCTCATACTACCTAAGTCTTTTTTGCTATATTTTTACATTGCATGAAATTACAGTTACATTCATGTTTTCCAAAATATCTTCTTCAGGAACACTGGTACCAAAAGTAGACCATAGTCAACTGAATTTGGAGAATAATGTATATAGTATCCCTGTTTTGGAGATTCAGAATGCATTTAAAAAGCTCAGAACTGTCTAGAAGTCAAAAAGCAAATAAGTTGTTTAACTTTGTTTAATCCAGAGACTTCCAAATTCATACGAGCAGGAATTCTTTCTACTTAGTATTTGTCCTAATATATGGAACACACTTCGGGAAATACTGAATTAATGGTCCATTAACTTAAAAGAAAACTAAAGAGCTATGGTCAAGTTATACCTTGAGGGAAACTATGCTCTTTCAGATTGGTTTTTTTTATTGAAACCTAGCTCAGGGCAGCTGCATAAAGGAGTTGAGAAATTATAGAAGAGGGTGATAGATAATATTTATGGTTTTTGTTTTAAACTAATTTAAGCCAAGCATGGTGGCTCTTGCCTGTGTTCCCAGCTACTCTGAAGGTTGAGGCAGGATAATTGCTTGAGGCCAGGAGTTGGAGACCTGTCTGGGAGATGTAGTAAGACCCCAGCTCAAAAAGAAAGAAAGAAACTAATTCACTTGTATATGAAAAATTAATACATGCAAATGACCATTTTGTCAGCTCCAAAAGGTAAATTTCCCCTCTACAGAACTAAAACCTCTAGTCTCTCTAGCCTCATTCATAAACGGTTAGATTCTTATGTGTCTGCACAGAATTGTTATGCATGTATATGAAGCTTATATTCACTCTCTCCCCCTTCCTTCTCTTTCCCCCCCCCCTCAATTCTGCTTCCCTTCTTCCTTCCATCTCCCTCTCTTCCTTGCTTTCTCAAAAAGGAATATACTATATGTATTGTGCTATTCTTTTGTTTTTTTTTTTTTGAAGAGACAGGGTCTTGCTCTCTTGCCCAGAATGGAGTACAGTGATGTGATCATAGCTCACTGCAATCTCAAACTCCTGGGCTCAAACAATCCTCCTTTTTCAGTCTCCCAAGAAGCTGAGACTACAGGTATATGCCACCATGCCCAGCTAATTTTTCCATTTTTATTTGTACAGACAGGATCTCACCATTTTGCCCAGGTGATCTTGAACTCCTGGCCTCAAGTGATCCTCCCCCTCAGCCTTGCAAAGTGCTGGGCTTACAAGCATGAGCCACCACGCCCAGCTTATATGCACTATTCTTTGTCTGCTTTTTTCATGTGCTCCATTTTAGAGAGGTCTCCATATCAATATAGGTAGATATGTGACATTCTTTTTAATGGTAGCATAGCATTCCATCATATAACATAGATTTACCTTGAGTTATTAAACCAGTCCAGTCTTAAAGAATATCAGATATTTTATTAACAACTCTTTGGGCATAAAATTCCTAGAAGTAGAATTATTGACCAAAGGATATATGCATTTTAAATTTCAGTAAATATTGCCAAATTATTGTTCAAAGAGATTGTACTTCATACTCTCACCAACATATATTCCTTTTTTCTTCCACCCAATGATGAAGGCATTTTTTTGTATGAATTGTAATTTCTTTACTTAGTATGAATTTCAGCATCTTTACAAATGATAAGCCATTTATATTTCTTTTTCTGTGAATGAACTGTTCATGTCCTTTGCCCAGTTTGCCTTTTATCTTGTTTATTTCTAATAGCAACTTAATATTAATTGTCCTTTTGTTTTATCCATGTTGAGAGTGCTTTTCTGATGATAATTTTGAAACTAGGAATACTTTGGGGATTAGAATGTAGAGCCATAGTGCAGAGCTAAGAACTTCAGTAATTGGGGCCCTAAAGAAATACATAAATTTTACCCATTTCAAAACATTGCCTAAGCCTGACCTTGTACCCAAGAAACTCCTGTTTTTCTTTTTTGTACAGTACATGGCCTCTGACATTTAGGACTATAAATTTTGGGTAGTGTTATAAGTGTTGTCATGTATTGGGCTAATGTGAACCACTATAGAGGGTCAGGGATTGAGGGCAATGATTTTTAGTGTTTTTAGTACTGAAACTCTTTATAAAGAGTTCTTATAGGGAGGTCCCACTTTATAAAATACATGAAACATGTTTTTTAAAAAGCTACTAGATAGGTTTCCTAAGGAGTTTAAAACCTTTATTATTTGGCTATAAATACTCAGTACCCCTTCAAAACCCTAGGAAGCTGGGCAGCACACTTTCAGATTCACTGAATTAGAATATTATAATCATTAAAATTGCAGTGTCAAATTTCCTGGTGGGCTAGGAAGATTATTCTATATCTGCAACCTTGTGTAACCTAAACTAGCTTGCATATGCCACAAATTAGCAGGGGAATAGAGGTCCTAAGTGGATGATCAGTTTCCACTTATCCCTTTTATAGACAGGTTGGTTTACTAGAGTGGATTAGTGTCTTGACATATAAAGGGAAACATTAAGTTATGATTTAGTTAATTTAAGATAGTGTTATTAGAAGTGTAAGTACGGTTCTGATTCTTTTTTTCTTTTGCTTTCTAATATTACAAGGGTGGGAAAACAAATGAAGAAAAAGTTAATTTGCATATTTAAGATTGATTTATTTTTCTGAAATAAACTGACTTTACCATAGCTTCTACATCTGTACCACAGTAAACATGTGATTATTCTGAAATATTATGAGATAAATTTGACAGGAACCAAATTAGTTTAGATTTAGCATATGAGTGAAAAAGCTAGTTGATGTATATTAAGAACTTAAGCAGATATTAAACTTAAAGGGCATTTTGGCTAGCTTTTGCCGTACATTGATACATATTTTAAGTGCTAAAATTGTTATCAAACAGAAATTTGTAAGTGAGGAGCTGAGATGGCCCTGTTCCCCTGAAGAAAGGTTAGGTCTAAAATCTTAGATTACTTTTTGGAGGGTCAAGTGGTACATGCATGTATAGGAGGGGAGGGACAAGTATTATTTGTTTTACATGATAGTTACTTTTTCTGAATCTATTTGTGTTCAATGTGTTACTTTTGTGAATTTGGCCCAAATTAATTTGACTGAAGCAGTTAATTTCTAAGGAATGTTTTAGGGGGGAAATGTGATTTTGTAAATACAAGAAAAGCAAAAGGGGACAGTAAGATGCACTTAAAATACCTGTAGATAAGATGCTTTGACTTACTAGTTTGCTCAGGATTATCTGTTCCGGTTAATTTAAAATGTCCACAATTTTTAAGAACTCTTTGGAAAAAAATACTTTCGTTTCTGGTTGATTGGATTTTTTAATGCTATTAATGCCCACACTTTTAAATATGCAACATGATATAAATATTACCCAATTATGCTTTTTAAAAATATTATTGTTATTTATACTTTTAGTAGAAAGCTAGAATTAATCAGTCAACTATATATGTATGTTATTTAGAAGTAATCCATAATAGTAATACCTACAAATTATTAAGTATCCTGTAGGTTATGTCACTATATAATAATATACTTGTCATGTTATTTATAATTCACAAATGTCGACATTTCCTCCCTTTTGTATTTGGGAGAACTATATAGAAATTAAATGAATTTACCCATGATCATACAGTGTCAAAACTTATATTAGAACCCAAATTTGTTTTGTTCTAAAGTCTACTGTTTAAAAATACACTATGTATGTATTTTTCTCTTCAGCAGGTCCCTGTAGGAACATATATTTATTTACTACTACTTTATTCAGATAGTTTTTTATTTGGAATAAATTAAAGTAACTCTGGTTTAGTGCTTTCTGGTTATTAATGTTTGCTTCATGAATGTTCAGTTAGGAAATACTAAAATAATACTAATATATCCCCAGCATCAAGCTAGAAGAGGGATTGTTAGCAGATTCTCCCATTGTACCCATCAGTTTTATCATGAAACTTCTAGGTATTCTATGTCCATGTTTCATTTCTTATGTCTATTCACTTGCTCTTGCTCTGCCAGTCCCATTGAGAGAAGTCCCAGATTTGGTTGGGTTTGATTGACTTGTTGTGTTAGGGTCTTTTGCTTATTTCATTTAGTTTTACATTGTGTGTATGTGTGTGTTCATCTTTTTATCTTTTGCCTTTTTTATCTTGTGGAGGACTTTTTTTTCATTTAGTTATACCTTTTTAATTGCTCTGCCTTTTAAAATTTGCGATTGTAATCTCTTCTACCTCGTTTTTATTTAACTTCTGTTACGAGTTTTTCCCATTTTATTTATTCAATTTCGGACATGTTTTCAACAGTTAAAAATCTGCTTATAATATTACTTAGTAGGAAAATTTCCAATGTAGATATGACACCAGCATTTTCCTGTTAAAGACATCTTTCTTCAAAGCCTAAAACTCTGTTAGAAATCTTATTATAAACCACATTTAGAACCCTAAAGGCTGGTGAGATGGATTTTGCATGTCATTTTTTGATTCTGAGTACTCATTTTTCATCCAGTTGCCTGGGTTTTTTGTTTTAAGTAAGAATATGGAAATTGCTTTTCTTGATATTGGTCTGCTTATTTTCAGTATCTTAGTATTTTCAGTATATTCCAATGGCACATAAATACTTGGTTTTATTGCTTTTTCAGTATTATAGCACTTCTAGTGTTATGAAAGTATTATACAGTGTTACTCTTACTTAATGGCATTATGTCATTCACTCATAGGGTGTGTTTGACCATCGAATGAAGTGCTGGCAGAAGTGGGAAGATGCTCAAATTACTTTGCTCAAAAAACGTGAAACTGAGGCAAAAATGACGGTTGCTAACAAACCAGATAAAATACAGCAAGCTAAAAATGAAATAAGAGAGGTGATTACTAAATGCTTTATCTCTTTACTCAAATTTTTCATGAGTCATTCATGTATACATAATTTTTCATAAATTTTTTTCTGAACCATTCAACACTTAGCAATTTTTCCATATTTTTATGAACTGTGTTAGAATTATGTTAACATTTTGATCATCATTAAGATCTTTAGAACCTTTGTTACCCCCACATGATTATGGACTGAATAAAGAAGGATACAAGGAAAAGAACTAAAATTAATCTTTATATTAATAAATTATACAACTTTTTAGGTGTTTAATTTCATTTCAGATAATTACTTATTTTGTGTCTAAAAATGGTTTTAGAGAAAGACCTAACTCACATTAGCTGTCAAGACAACAGTATCCCCCATATATATGTATTATATATGGTATTTTAGTAAATCTGTATAAGTTTATTATAATTTATACACTTTTTTTGCCATGCTTCAATAAGGAAATTGAAGAGGTAGGACAACCTTTATATTATTAAAAATAAATGTACCTGCTCTTTGAAGAGTATGTACCAGTGTTTTGGTTACATAGTGGGAAAAATATCATTTCATTGCTTAAAAATCTTCAGTTATTTTATTTTAGCTATTCCATTGGTCACTAATCATAACATTTTGTCTCTGTACTGAATTTAATGTTTATTGATGATGGGTCTTCAATATACTGTAGTTCCACTTTCTGAAAGAATCTGGTCATTTTACCATTACAAAAGTGTTTTTTTAATAGTGGTCATACAATTTCTAGTTTAAAATATTTCCATGGGCATATAAATTGTGTTGAGCACATATTCTTGAAATTAACAATATTGTTGATATATTCTGAAATAATTAATGATACAAAAAAGAAATGAAAAAATTACACTATGACACTACTGATTTATTTGGTAGTGAATTTTATACCCCAAATCTTTCCTCTTAGTTATATTTAATTAAGCTTTGGATATTATAGTTCATTAAGTACAGTGTTGGAATATTCTAATCTTGAGCAAATCCAGCAGTGAAATATTAATGGAAATTAAACTGACATACATTTCTGTCACTACAAAGTTAGATACAAGTTTGAATAATGCTAAATTGGGCTTTGCCAATATTGAGCTTCCTCGGGGTTTCCAGGCATTATATTTAAATTAAAAAAGTGGTCATAACAGCTAGTACTATAGTTTTTTTTTTTCAGACAGGAATAAACTATTTGTTTCTTTTTTTGTTTTTATTAGTGGGAGGCAAAAGTGCAACAAGGAGAAAGAGATTTTGAACAGATCTCTAAAACAATTCGAAAAGAAGTGGGAAGATTTGAGGCATGTATAATAATTTTGCACTTTTCATAATAGCATGGTCACATTTTGCTGCAATTGTATGGTAAAATTTAGTTTTCTACTAATGAACTTTTTTTCGTATATTGTACTTTAATAGAAAGAAAGAGTGAAGGATTTTAAAACTGTTATCATCAAGTACTTAGAATCATTAGTACAAACACAACAACAGGTAAGCTGATTTTTTTTAATAACTCACAAACTTTTCCAATTTGTTTTTGGTATACTTTATTATTTTAAAGAAGATGATTAATGAAATAGGCTTTTAAACTCAAGGAAGAATAAGAAATGGAGGCCGGGCACGGTGGCTCACGCCTGTAATCCTAGCACTCTGGGAGGCCGAGGCTGGCAGATTGCTCGAGGTCAGGAGTTCGAAACCAGCCTGAGCAAGAGTGAGACCTCGTCTCTACTATAAATAGAAAGTAAAATTGGCCAACTAATATATATAGAAAAAGAATTAGCCGGGCATGGTGGCGCATGCCTGTAGTCCCAGCTACTTGGGAGGCTGAGGCAGGAGGATTGCTTGAGCCCAGGAGATTGAGGTTGCTGTGAGCTAGGCTAACGCATGGCACTCACTCTAGCCTGGGCAACAAAGCGAGACTCTGTCTCCGAAAAAAAAAAAAAAAGAAATGGAGAGAGAAAGCCAGTGATAGCAAAAGAATAAATGGGTAGTTAAGGTAATTGGAAACTATCTCAAGTCCTTTTTGCCCCTACCAAACACTAGCAAAGATATACTTTTCCCAATTTTAGGCCCTAAGAAACCTCATGGACAACTTCCTTTCCTCTGTTTTTCTCATTGTTTCCTTGTAGGTCAGACCTGTTTAAGTAAATTCTCATAGAACAGTCTTCCCTAACAGAACTTAAACTAAGTTCTATTTTTTTTTTAAGTTTTAAAAAAATTTGTACTGTTTTTGTTTTATTTGGGGGGGCGGTGGTTGTATACTGCAAATGGCATTTGTCTCTAACTAGTGAAGACCATGGGTTTTAATGGTGCATTAAGTAAAAGTCAGTAACAAGATAGTAAGATAATAGCAGTGTTTGTATATATTTTAATGTCAATTTGAGTAATAGATCAAATAATTTAATGTCTTGAATAGAAGAATTTCTTCTAGTTTTGAAATATGTGATATGTGATCTAGAAACTTGTTTGTATAAAACATAATAGGTTATGTTTTTGAATTAAGTGATTATGATATCTTCAAATTCACTGAGGCTGGAGTTCAGTGGCATGATCATAGCTCATTGTAACCTTCAACTACTAGGCTCAAGTGAGCCTCCTGCCTCAGTCTCCCAAGTAGCTAGGACTACAGGCATGTGCTACCTCACCCAGCTAGTTTTTAAACTTTTTTTTTTTTAGAGATGGGGTCTTGCTATGTTGCCCAGGCTGTTCTTCAACTCCTGGCCTCAAGCAATCTTCCTGTCTCGGCCTTCTAAAGCACTGGGATTACAAGTGTGAACCACCACGCCCAGCATATATTTAATTTCTAATCAAATAATTCATAAAGTTCAATTTTTAAAAATATGAATACAAATTAGTCATATAAGCTTATTTTTAAAGGAATTATTTTAAAGGTAACTTTAGTTTATACTTCAATCTATTCTCTGGACTATCTGGGGCAGACTCACAGCTAATTCTTTCCGGTCCCTTTTTTTCATTTCTTGCTCAATATTTTCTTTTCTTCCACCTTTTATCTCATTTTTCTTGGCTAGCAGTAACATAAAATGTGAATGTCCTCTGAATTAGGAGATGTTATCACTTTATGTTGGAAAAAGTAATTGTAGTTGTATTAAGGTAATCTTTAATGTGTGGTAACAATCCTTATACAATTTTGCATAAATCAAAAAATTGTAAGTTTTCGAAAATTGTATTGTTTACATTAAAAACTGTAATTAGGAGTAATTGGTATTTTAAATAGTTTATATGTGAATTATATTGACAGACTTCAGATAAGGAAGTTAAAATGATCCTTTCGAAAGCCAGACATTAGTAAATGTTAATCATTGTTAGCTATTTCTATAGATTTTTGTTTAATGCATTATAGGATATATGCATATAAATGACAAAATGGTAACATCTTTTATTTTTATTATCATCCACAGCTGATAAAATACTGGGAAGCATTCCTACCTGAAGCCAAAGCCATTGCCTAGCAATAAGATTATTCCTCTTAAGAAGACCTTGGATGTTTGTTCCAGTTATGCTGAATTCTACAGTGAAATCATTTAAAACCATCTAAATAAACCACTATATATTTTATGAATTACATGTGGTTTTATATATACATAGACACACACATGCACACACACACTCACTTACACACTCTGACATTTTATTACAAGCTGCATGTCCTGACCCTCTTTGAATTAAGTGGACTGTGGCATGACATTCTGCAATACTTTGCTGAATTGAACACTATTGTGTCTTAAATACTTGCACTAAAAAGTGCACTGCAAGGCCAGAAAATTTGACAATATTTTTTTCTTTACAATATGTTCTGTAGTATGTTTACCCTCTTTATGAAGTGAATTATCAATGCATTGATTAATGTTTACTTATACATTCCTGTACAGAAATTATGATTTTGTGATTACAGTAATAAAATGATATTCCTTGTGAAGTATTAGTAACAAATTATTTGGGTATGTAAACATATCAGGGATATTTTTAAAGCATTTTTAATAGGAAGGAACTTTTTCTTCTAGATGTTTATGGGTGATGCTGTGATTCCTTAATTACTTTAATTAACAGAAAAACACTGAACTCTTACATTATTAAATGACAAATGAAGCTTAAATTTTCTTACGAAATCATCATAAATCAAAGAACATTTATCTCTTGGTTGTCTTGGGTTAAAGAAGAGAATAAATTGTCTTGGCTTGTTTTTATCCATCCTTATAATTGCTCAATCTAAGAATTAGTGAAAAAATGTATTTGCTTCTGTTACAAGTCCCATGGACTTTACTCATCTTTTGTTATCTTCAAAATCTAAGTCTTTGCATATATTTAATTTATTCCTTATCTTTAAAAAAAAAAAACCTAAAAGTGGGTCATCTATGATCATAATTGACAAGGAATGGTACCTTGCTAAAATATACCATTATTTGATGAACAAACAAGTCTTTGGCAGCCTTCTTACCTATTCTGTGTGTTGCTTAGACAGCTGTTATCCTTAATGCTGATGAAAATTTAAGTTATAACTGGAATCAGAGTTATTTTTGTTTTTTAAAAAGTATTCTTAAAAAACACCCCTCTTCTTGAGCTTAACAGCCACATCTCCTTTCCAGAGGAACAAGATATGGTATGTGTAACTAAGCCCTCTCTTGTGGCTTACTGGATAGAAGTATTTAATAATATATTAGAGTGTCCTCAGCATGTGTTTGTTTCCACTTATTTCAGTTGAAATGTTAAGCCTACTATAGGTATTACACTATATATATTCATATTTATACTTAATATAAATATGAAATACATACATATATGTTATATTTATATTCCTATTATACTCATATTTATATCCCAGAAGCCTGCATGACGCATAAGTTTATTATAAAGACTTGGGCCACATGTAGTGGCATGCGCCTGTAGTTATAGCTAGGGAGGTTGAGGCAGGAGGATTGCTTGAGCACAGGAATTCAAGGCTGTAGTGCTTGATGATTGTGCCTGTGAATAGCCACTGCCCTCTAGCCTGTGCAACATAGCCCTGTCTCTAAGAAAAAATAATCAGTGAATTGAACAGGAAAAGAAAAATCTCAGGAGACACAAAATAATGTTTGCCGTTGTAAGAAGAAACTGAAGCAGAAATAGTATAATCTTGTTTTGCTCCAATAGATAAAATACTTTTGAGAAATGAATAATTCATTAGTAATATATAGCAGATGCCATCTTGTCTTATTAATATTGGGCAGAAATAGGCTTACTAGGAATAGAGTTCCACTAGAATGATGTCCTAGTATTATATCCATAGTTTTATTCCTTACAAAGGTATAGTTTGTACATAGGATAACTTAATTATTCAAGTTAATATTATTATTATTAAAATCTTCCATTCAGATGTGGTACATTCATTAGAATATTCGGTACCTCCAGATAAAATATTTTAAAAATAATTTTAGCCTTAATCTGAAGAAAGTAACTGACCCACCTTCATTCCTCTTGCCCACATTTTCTAAAAGATAAGCAGTATATTGGAAATTTCAAGTACATTATGTGAACCTCTGATACCTACCAACATTTTAACAAGATTTAGTTATTTCAACACTCAGCCCATCAATCTTCATTTCTCCTGTTCATATTTCTAAAATGCTTTCCTTCCAAATAAAACAAGAGCATTAACAGTGCTAATAACATAATCTTTTAGTTGTATAGGTCTGAACTTAAGTATTTTTTTTTTTTTATGAGATGGAAAATTAAGGAAGGACTAAGGCAGCATAATATAGTGGAGCAAGCTAAACAAACACACATGTCTTCAGTCTTCTCTTAGTAGCTGTAGGACTTTGTGCATGTCACTTAAATCTCTTACCTATTAGTACATAAAGCTCTTGATTCTTGAAGTGCCTTTCTGCTTTAAAATACTTTGTTTAAAATATCAAACTTCAATATAAATGTTCTATTAGAAAACCAAATTCTAATAAGAGACTACCTCCTATTAAGTAAAACAATGTTAGAGCAAAATGAATGTAAAAATGTGATTTCTAACAAGTTTTTTTGATTTTTTTACTGAACTATTTTCAACTATTTCACATTTTCCCCACCCCCATTCTACTTGTTTTATACATATATATTTATATTAATTTTAAAATGCCCTTGTTTCATTGTTGCTACTGAATTTTTTTCTTTTTATCCAGATCTAGTAAAGTTTCCCAAGTTCACTGTACAAATTGTTTCATAAGTGGTTTTAAAATATAAAATAAGCCTCTTCACATGATCAGCTTTCTTTAAAGGAAGGAAGTCAGGTTAGAGAAGGAAAGTATATTCATTTAAAAATGCTTAATCCTAATGTCTAAGGGAATTAATAAAAGCTTCCAGTTTTCTGTCTTAAATTGAGGGATGTGACTAAGCTAAATGGCTACTTCACTTTTCTTGTTGTGGTCCTGCATGGGCAGTCATGTGATTAACATAGGGAGACAGAAGATAGTCAAGAACAGTAATGGGCCGGCGCGGTGTGGTGGCTCACGCCTGTAATCCTAGCACTCTGGGAGGCCGAGGTGGGCGGATTGCTCCAGGTCAAGAGTTCGAAACTAGCCTGAGCAAGAGCGAGACCCCATCTCTACTATAAATAGAAAGAAATTAATTGGCCAACGAATATATATAGAGAAAAAAAATTAGCCGGGCATGGTGGTGCATGCCTGTAGTCCCAGCTACTCGGGAGGCTGAGGCAGGAGGATTGCTTGAGCCCAGGAGTTTGAGGTTGCTGTGAGCTAGGCTGACGCCACCACAGCACTCTAGCCCGGGCAACAAAGTGAAACTGTCTCCAAAAAAAAAAAAAAAAAAGTAATGACAGGCTGATCAGAGTCATCCTATTTAGCTGAGAGTGGTGGCAGATGCCTGTAGTCCCAGCTACTTGGGAGGCCAAGGTGGGAATATTGCTTAAGCCCAGGAGTTTGAGACCAGTCTCCAAAAAATAAAATAAAAAGGAAATTTTTTTAAAGTTCTGTTTTAAAGGAAGGAGGGATTATTGGTAGTGAGGAGGGAAAATAACATTTGTGAAAAGGAAGTCCAGTCATTGGCTTAGGAACCCTGGAAGCATTTCTGTGTCATATTCACTAGTCAAGAAATGTATATGTTATGATACCTGTGTGTGTGACATACTTTTTGTTTCGAAGTATTGAAGAAAGACTGGATAGAACCACCATCCCCTTTCTCATCTAAAATTAAGAGTAAAATTTAAGTATCGTTCATAACCATCATGGTAAAGGATATGGTTGCAAGTAATAATGAAGGTAGATCATGGGCCAGACATGGAAATAACAAGAAAAGGAAATATTTAATACAACAAGAAAAATGTGAATAATTGTTCAGTACCCTGCCTTTGTGATCAGGGTGATGAAGAGAGGTCATGTTAATCTGGATGAGCTCCTTAAAAGTTTAGACGAAGAAAGGCCAGGTGCAGTGGCTCCCTCCTATATACCAGCACTTTGGGAGACCAAGGTGGGAAGATCACTTGAGGCCAGGAGTTAAAAACCCAGTCTCTACAAAAAATAAAACTAGCTGGGCATGGTGGCACACACCTGTAGTCCTAGCTGTTCTGGAGGCTGAGATGGGAGGATTGCGTAGGCCCAGGAGTTCAAGGCTGCAGTTAGCTATGATGGCACCGGTGCACTCCAGCCTGGGCTACAGAGTGAGGCCCTGTCACTAAATGAAACAAACCAAATGTTTGCACCAATATAGAAATCCAGTGTGAGCCACATTTTTTTAAACTTTCTATAGCCAAATTTTTAAAAGAAAGAAATGGCCAGGCATGGTGGCTCACGCCTGTAATCCTAGCACTCCAGGAGGGCAAGGTGGGAAGATCCCTTGAACACAGGAGTTCAAGACCAGCCTGATCAAGAGTGAGACCCCATCTCTACTAAAAATAGAAAAAATTAGCCAGGTGTAATCATGCTTGCCTGTGGTCCTAGCTACTCCAGAGGCTGAGGTAGGAGGATTGGTTGAGCCCAGGAGTTTTGAGGTTATAGTGAGCTATGATGACATCACTGCACTCTAGCTGGAGTGACACAGCAAAACTCTCCAAAAAAATATTTAATTTTAATATTAAGTCCAGTGGTTCCAATGTACTGAAACGTATGAGGTATTTTACATTTTGTATTAAGTCTTTGATATCCAATGTGGAGTTTATAGTGTCATTACATCTCCATTCATACTAGCTACATTTTAAGTGATCAGTTGTAACATGTGGCTAGTGGCAATGATTGGACAGCAAAGGTTTAGTGAAACCTGTGGAAGTGAAAATGGAAAGTAAGTCCAACAGCTAGTTAACTTACCATCCTGAACCCAGTGAAGAAATCAAAGCTGAATAAAGGACCCCTATTTGGTGCTTTCAAGGGGCAAATACAATTTAGATATAAAACTTTGTAGCATAATGTTTTGCAAGTAGTGGATACTCAATATCTACTCTGAATAAATTGTAGCATTGTATTGCCAAAAGGAAAAACTTAAAGATTGTCTCTTAACCTCTTCATCTTACAGATAAACTAGCAGATTCAGGGCTTCAATCATGATTGAACTGATTTTTCCTCTTAAATTTGTGTGTTAATCGTGTGTGAACATTCTTTGAAAATGTATGATAAGTTTTTCAAGATTCCTGTTCTAATCATTTATATGTAGAATTCTAGGAAGTCCTTTGGGATACAGAGAACTTATTTCTTCAAACTATTGCTTCAGAAGCTGCTAAGAATAGAAGATTGTAGAAGATAGGGAAGTTGTGGCTTTCTGTGTGATTTTTTAATGCACATGAAGTAATTAAAAATGCTCATCTTCCTTTCTCTTGTTGTCGCATACTTTTTTAAAAGTCTCTGAACATTAAATAATTTTAACTATTTCTTAACTGGGTGAAATGGAAACTTTGTAATTAAAGCCAATCCGGGTGAAGGTGCCCATTTGTTAATACACAAATTATTTTCTTATTAAGGTCAGTTAATAGGATAAACCATTTTAAGAGTATTTTGAGAAAAACGTTCTATTTTAAATTTATATATATGTAACTGTTTAATAAAAATTAAAATTAGACAAAGCAAAACTATTTAAAGAATAAATTGCCTTCTTACTGCTTCATAGTTGTCTTATCTTGATTTTAACCTGTATTTTATTTTCTAGATCTTTATTTCAAGTGTTCTCACTATATATGTGTATACAGTGTGTGTGGGTATTTGTGTGTGTGGAAATGTTTGTGTGCATGTGGGACAGTAGGCTTTTAAACCAAACTTAGTTTCTGCATTTAAGTTAATGCTTCCCAGCCTTCCGTAACTGAGACATAATACCAAATGCTTATGTTTTCAACGTTAACATTTCTTAGGCATCATAATTTTACCAAGACCAACTTGAGTTGATTGTATTTCTGAAATCTCTGCCCTTCTCATTTCTCCTGTTTTTCTCCCTGAGTGAAGATCTTAAATTGCCCACCCACCCTCCAGTCCCCAGCCAGAACTGGGGTCAAGATCTTGTTACCATTTGCCAGAACTATCTTAAGTCTCCTATGAAATGCTATTCTTTTATTCTCTCCCTACTCTGCTACTCCTACAACCTGCTGTGAAATCCATCTTCCTAAAGAACTCTTGTCACAGCACTGTGCTCAAAAATCTTCAATAGACTCCCTACAGCCTACAGATACAAGTCCAGATGCTCCATAACCTGGTCTCAAACTACTTTTCCTGTCTTGATTCTTACCCCTTTACCCATCTTTTGCTTTAATCAATTGAGGCTTATGAGTATACCCTGTTCCTTCCTGGTCTTGTGTTTTTGGGAATGATACACCTTGTCTGAGTTACCTTTCCCTTTTAACAGCAATTGTTTAAATCCTACCCATCCTTTAAACTAAAGCCAAATTTAAAGTCCACATCCTTTTAAGTAAGGAGAGAGGAAGGAAGGAATCTCTTGATCTCTCCATAGCACTCTAATAAAAAGTTGTTTCTTTCAGATTGTACTTATTGAGATCTGTCTTGTATTATAGTTACCTGGTCTTACTTCCTTGAGTAGTCTGTATGTTTCTTGGGAAATGACCATGCCCTTATTATTTCTTGTAGAACTTTGTGTGTTACAGTCAAGATAGTGTAATGGAGTGATTAAGAACACAGTTATGCATTCAGCCCACTCATTTGAATCTTGCCTCAAGAACCTACAGTGTTGACTATTAGCAAGTTATTTTTGTCTGAAAATTAAGGTTCCTCATCTGTACAATGGAAAGTACTCCTTCACATGCTCCTTAAGGGCCTTAAGATAACTGATATGAATTTCTTAGCAAGTGATTAATAAGTATTAGCTATTATACATCCAATAAATGTTTGCAGGACACAGAACATCTCAGTCTGAACAAAGCACCTACATTTCAATTATTTCACCAGTCTTTAAGACTTCTTCAACATAACAGGTTTATGCTTGCCTAATGCCTAAATAGGCTTACCAAAAAGGTTCCCTCCCAGAACAGTCTACCTCAAGGAGATTTACTCTGAGAGTCCAGGGGCTAAAGATCAGATGGAGAAAGGGAGGAAAGTTTGCAGTCAAAATCCATTAATATTCAGCAAACACAAGTTTAAAACTCCCCCTACCCCGGAGATACTCTAGTTAAATGAGTGTTGTCGGTAAATGTCAGAGACCTTTAAAGGAGACTGGAGGCTAAAAAGGAAGGGTGAAATAGAAATGTGGTAATTGCTTTGGGAACGAGAAGTTTATTTTCCCACAAATTTGTAGAGCCTTCAATATGTAGCAGACTAAGGGAAATAGTAAACTGTGAAGAAAGATGGAGAGTGAGAGTTTCATGAGAAGAATTGATGGAGTGGCAATCGTCCAGCCAAACGATGGCAGGTGCCTGAACCGCTGCATGGAAGTGAGATAATTCAGGGGAATGGAAATGAAGATGGCAAGTTTCACTTAGTCACTCATTTATCCATTTATTTTGAGGTTGGCATGCTGATTTCAAAATCCTGGGCAAAACTAATATCTAAGGGAAGAATGGAGGGAAAAAATCAAGTAGATAAAGTCTCGGAAAGAAGTGAAGATGTTTCTTACTTTCAACAAAAGGAAAGAGAAGGGTGAGTTTATTTGGTGATGAAAAAGAAAAGCTATGAGTTCAAGCCTGAAAGTTTTTATTTTCTTGATGAAGAAATTAAGCCATCATCAGGGGGTGTTATCAGCAGGAAGGCCAAAGAAGATTGGAAGCCAAAAAAAGAATAGTAAATGTTTAGAAAAAAGAAATACAGACGAGTGCTAATTTTCAAATCAGTTTGGAAATCATGAATTTACAAATAAAGCCAACGGAAGAAAGTATCCTTTTCTTCAGCCATCAGACTGCAGGTCCTAGGCAAATTGATGGACTTACTCAATATTGGGGATTGGTAGTGGGTTTGAGGGAACATGGGGGCGGGAGGGGAAGAGATTTTGAGACACGAATTTAAAAGACTAAGGCTACAAATGAAGGCAAGAGAGAGAAGACAGGCAGAAATTGGAGGCTTGGGATGTGATGAAGTGGAAGCAACTTCTCTGGTAATGAGGGTATAGAAAAGGAGAAAGTAGTCAAAGGCAGGAACTTAAGTTTCAGAAACATTAAGTTTTAATGCATTTGGCACTTTTTGAAAAAGAATAAATAGGGCAAACAACTGCCTAGGCCTCTGGTAACACCATTAGGGTTGTTTCTGTGGCATTCCTAGAATTTGCTTTTTGATGTGCCAGTGTCTTGGAAGTTTTTGCTTGTCAATACATAAAAATGTACTGCAGTCTTTGATTTTTTAGTTAATGTTTATTTCATCAAATAAATAACATGCGCAAAACCCAAAAACTACAGTAGCATTGCCAAGGCCAATGACATGCAGCGGTTCTTTGCCCCATCTGGCCCCCATTTCTTCAATCCTCTTCCTTAGAGGCTCCACTTTCTACTCTTAGCTGTTTCTGCTGCCACCTTCACGTTTCTAAGTAACAGGTCTACACTGCTATCAAACGTCAGTGTTAGACATCGTCTGCTTATCTTTTCTATGGTGAGTAAGAGTTCAGTTCACTTGCTCTGCCGTTGCTCTGCTTTATGCACTTGTCCCCGCCCTTCCAATGCAGTTGTGTTACAATTTTTGGTTAAATCAGTATTTGCATTTTTATTGTGCCTACACAAATACTGCTCACAGGTGAAAGTTGTAGTATATTTAATGATGATTTTCTTTCTTTTTTTAAAAAAATAAACTTTATTTTAGATTTACAGAAAAATTGTGAAGTTAGGACATGTAGGGTTCTCACATACCCTGCACCCAGTTTCTCCCACTGACATCTTGCATTAGTATAGAACATTTGTTACAACGGATAAATATCAATGCATCAGTATTAACCAAAGTCTGTAGTTTATTCAGATTTCTCTAGTTTTTGCTCAATTATGTATTCCGTGTTCTAGGATCCCTTTCAGGACAACACATCCAGGATACATTTATTATAGTTGTCATGTCTCCTGCTCCTCTTGGTAGTGACAGTTTCTCAGGCTTTTCTTGTTTTCAATGACCTTGCTATTTTTTCCTGAAGTAAAGCATGCTTTAATTTTTTTTAAATTTGGTTAGTGCCTTTTTTTCTTAATCTATTGGTAATTTTCTCCATGTCTTCCCATAGTGTCACAGTGCATTTTCCCATAAGACCATTCACATCAGGTAATCTCTCCATTCCAGTTGTTTTGTTTAGAGCCCTCTCTCCAGGAAACTAATATTCTCTCTGGGGCTAGTGCTCTCTGGGCTTGCTGTAGAGTTACCCTTGGACTTCTCTCGCTCTCAGCTTTGGAATTGCCTTCACCATTCTCTTGGGACATATTCCCTATATACTGGGACTCAGGCCGCCTTCTTTTTATTGGCTTATTTTCTTGTGTTGGTGAAGTATATTTTCCAGTAGTTTCTTTAGATTAAAAAGAAGATATGGCAGAAAGCATTGCGAAAACAGTCCTCAAAATACCTGCCTCTTGAGTCATGTTGCTCTAGTCTGGACTGGTGATCTTGCTGAGCCCATTGCATGGTGGTGATCCTGAAGGTTCCCCTCACTGCTTCCCTGGGTTGTATCTTCTACTTTCTACACCTCATATTTTCCACTTTCTTGATTTATTCCCTCATTTTGGTGGATATACAGGATAGGTTCCTGAGAATAAATGTACAAAAAGTATATATTTTGAGACCTTATTTTACTCTAATCCTTTGAGGAATTTGAGATCAGCCTGAGCAAGAGTGAGACCCCATCTCTATGAAAAATAGAAAAAATCAGCCGGGCGTGGTAGCGCGTGCCTGTAGTCCCAGCTACTTGGGAGGCTGAGGCAGGAGGATTGCTTGAGCCCAGCAGTTTGAGGTTGCTGTGAGCTATGATGGTGCCACTGCATTCTGGCCCAGGTGACAGAGTCTGTCTCAAAAAAAATAAATAAAAAGTAGATAAATAAATAAAAGCTTGATCAGCAATCTGTGGCTCAAGGATTTCATGACTACACAATTCTGGGTTACATTACCTGTTTCAGCCAATCTTGAAGTTGTTTTGGGGGTCTTCTGCCATCATCAGCTGTTATTATTTTAAAAATAAAAAACAGAAATACTTCCTAGACCTTGAAAGTCCTATTGCATCCTATTGCACATAACACTTCCTCATGGGATTGTTATGAAGCTTATTATTACTGTTATTTTGGGGAAACAGCATCTCACTCTGTCACCCAGACTGCAGTGCAGTGGTCATAATTCATTGCAGCCTCAAACTCCTGGGCTCAGACAATCCGCCCACCTCAGCCTCCTAAGTAGCTGGGACTACATGTGGGTGCCACAAAACCTGGATAATTAAAAAAACAATTTTTTTTTTTTTTTTGGTAGAGCTGTAGGGACTCTCTGTTGCCCAGACTGGTTTCAAACTCCTGGCCTCAAGCAACCCTCCTGCCTCAGCCTCCGAAAGTGCTGGGATTGCAAGTATGAGCCACTGCACAGGGTCCCAGCTGAGGAAACTTGATTATCAGGTTACTCAAGTAAGCCTTGAGTTTCCTTCCTTAGGATAGAGCACAGTGCAGAATTGAAACTGCTCTGTTGAGGTGACTTGCAGGTCACTGAGAAGTGACCTCAGCCAGGAAAAAAGGTAACCTGCCAGCGAACTTCTTGGACTGCAGCTGCATTCAGTTCCGTTTGTCTTTGAGAGTAGGGGGCATTTCAGCTTAGCAAACTCTAGAGTTTATGATGGAACCCTAAGTCATGGGACAGAGAAATAACTGGGCTTCCTGCTTTCAGAACGTGCCTGGTGTGGACCCGCAAAGCCTTCTACACTAACCTCAGCTGAGGATCCATCCTCTAAGCCAGCACTCACCAGATGTGCCCTCCTCTCAAAACTCCCTATTTTTAGCTGTGGCCTGTGACTAGACCACCATTCCTTTTTTCTTCTGGCCAGCACCTCCTGATAAACTAAACAGCTCTGTGGACTCTACGCTGTGAGTGTAGAGCCCAGCTTATAGGTCACCTTGAGCCTCTCGTGACGATCACACTGTATTGTGTGATTTATGTGCTTTGCCAACTAGGTTTTAGGGCAAGTACCTTTTCAAAGTCTTGTCATGGCCAGGCATGTTGGCTTTCTCCTGTAATCCTAGCACTTTGGACGGCCGAGGCGGGAAGATCAATGAGGACAGGAGTTCGAGGCTGCTGTGAGCTACGATCGCGCCACCGCAGTCCGGCCTGAGAAACAGAGGGAGACCCCGCCTCAAAAAAGAAATAAAAGAAAACAATGTCCTCAGCTGGGACACTTAATTTCTTAGGGACTGTCAAGCTACTAGTCCCCAGTCCCTACCTTTTATTGCATCTTCTACTTTCTCTCCTGGTTGAAAAGCTCCTCACGGTTAGAGGCAGCGCTTTAGAACTGGCGCCTGAAGCAGCGGGTTGTGTCAGCGACCCGGCGACCTGCGCGCTCCTGTGGGGCTCCGCGCTCCACACGTCCCTCGGTCGGCGGCCTCTCAGGAGCCCCGGGCCCTCGCATCGAGGGGGACCGGAGAGTCCTGGCAAAAGTTGGAGGGTGCTCGGCTGTCAGCGTCCTCTGAGGGTAAAAATAAAAACTCAGCTGACCAAAACAAAATTGAAACGCTTCACACTCTTCCATTCTGGTCCGTCAGGCGAGCCGCCCCCGAGCGCCGCGGGAGCCGGGCGGCGGGCGCGGGCGGGTCGGCACCGCCGGCCGTCCGGCGCGGGGCGCGCCACCCCTCGCAGCCTCGGGCGGCAGGCCCCGCCTCTGGGTCCGGCGCCTCCGCCGCCGCTAGGCCGAGACGCCGGCGCCGCTGCCCGCGCCCTCCGCCTCTCCCGGCCCGGCCAGGCGCCCGAGCGCGCGGGCGCGGCGCGCAGGCCGGTCCGGCGGCGCAGGCTCGGGGGGGGCGCGGCCGGGCGGAGCGGCGACCGCAGCGTGCGCCCGCCCCGCTCGCCCCCCGCCGGCCGGCCGGCGCGGCCATGGAGGTCTACATCCCGTCCTTTCGCTACGAGGAGAGCGACCTGGAGCGGGGATACACGGTAGGCGCGGGCCGCGGCGGGACGGGCCCGCGAGCCGGCCTGCGGCGCTGCGCCCCGGGAGGCGCCCCAGGCCGCCGCCGCCCCTGCGCGGGTCCCCGCGCGCCTCTCCCCTCCCCCGCCCAGGGGAAGGGCTGTGCCCTGCCGCGGTTGCCAGGGAAACGGGCGCCCCTTCCCGGCGCGGCGGCCGCGGGCGCCCGCGACCCCCGCCGCCATCCCTTCCCGGCCCGGCCTGGGCTGGGCTGGGGCGCCCGCCGTCCCCGCGCCGCCCGCCCCCGGCGCCGGGATGGGCTCGTGCGCGTCCCGCGCGGCCGCCCCAGCCCAGGCTGAGGTGGCAGGTTCATGCCGGCTTCCAAGCGCTGTGCGATTCGTTCGGCTAGGAAACATGGTACTTTCAACAGCAGCATCGTTTGTGGCTGTTTATTAGCCAAAGTAAACACATGTGTTGGTTTTAAATGGTTTCCAAAGTTTGTTTTTTTCTCTTTTTCCAGTTACGCAGTGCCATGAAATCGCAGAAACAGTACTTACTGAGCACCTGTTTTCTACATGGGACTGTGGTCACCCAGAAATGTGAAACTGGAACCCTGCTCGCAAGAGTGAAGGGGAGGGCAGAGACCAGGGCATGGGCATTTGGGGACAAGTTTACTGAGTGGGCTGTTGGTGGTGATTCCTCAGTGAATTTAAACATTCTTACCTAGACAGTTATTGCTAGTGGGGCAGATGTCAAAGGGTGGTTAGACCTTGGAAGAATTTTCCAGTTGTTAAAGAATGGGTAGGGTTGGAGAGACACTGTAGAGAGCAGTCTGAAAGGACCGTTTTATTTGCGGCCAGTTCACTAACTTGCTAAACACCAGTTACATGAATTTGGCAGAGAAGTATTTTAATCCATCTCCCCTCCTCTAAATATTATTGGTATTTGGTGACAGTCTTTTGGGCCCTTGTGTTTTCATAGCAAGGACTAAATCACCCTGTCAAAGGAAGATACAGAATTAAAAGCAGTGATTGAAAAATAAAAAGTCCAGGAAGTATGTAGGTTTTTAGAATTCAGTAGACTTTGTACAGGTACTTGTCCTGAGACAAGTACTTAAAGTGCTTTCCATGGGGAGGAAACTGCAGGGAGTGGGGAGTTGTGCTATATAGTGGCGGTTATTTATATAAATAATCCTTTCCAGTGCATTAACATGTGGTTAAATATTCTGTATCTTTTTAAAAAAATTGAACTTGAATCCATTCAAGACTTTTTTCTTGGAGGTTTTATCCAAGTCTCCTAAGCCTAAAACCTCGGTTCATTTTTCAGGTACCTCACCTCTCTCATCAGCAGCCTCAACAGTCATGGAGGGCCTACCATTTTGGGGGCTTTCTTTTAGGATATGAAGGTTAAAAGGCCAGTTGTTAGGGGCCATGGTTTTCAGAAGATGAAGTTGGTCTCAATAGTCCAAGCTAAAAGTTAATTACCTGCAGAAATAAGCACTTTGAAGTAGATCATAATTAAGGTTCATTGCCCATTATTGATTTTCTTCTACTGGAGAATCTGTGCTCTTTAAAAGTTTACTTTAAGAAAAAAAAAATCCTAACTCTTTTAGATTGGGAGCCAAACTGTTAAAATACATTCTGAAGTGATTTTTTTTCCTGGGTGAGTTTGTGGAGCAGTTAATACCTTTTCCCCCTGAGCAACTAATTTTGTGCTTGTACAGCAGTTGAGTCATTCAACAAATATTAACTGAGCACCTGCTGTAAATCTATATTCTAGGTGTTGGGAAAATAGCAATGAATTATATTTCAGCTTTAAGAAAACCCTAACATTTAAAAGATATAATCTCAGTTTCCTAAATAAGAAACTGGTAAAATAATGTATACCTTAGTAAAAAAAAAACAAAAACAAAAAACCCCACCTTTTTACTTTAGTGATTATGTTTGTGTTTTAAATTTAAAAAGCGTTATATCTCATTCTAACAAATCCAGTGATAGGATGTTTAAAGTAGAAACAGATGGTTTCTCCTTTTGCTTCTAGTCCCATGCCCCCAGAGATAAAGTGTAGGAGTATGTCTTAGAGATTTTTTTCCCTGTACTGTGAAGACATATATGTTTTTCTTTTTTAAAAAAATAAATGGCAAGATTTTACCACAGCTGTCATCGTGCAGCTATGGACATCTTTCATTGTTGATCCGGAGAGCTCTGCCGCCTCTTTCTAACTGCTAGTGAAGGACTCTTCCACAGTAATTTGTTTACCCAGGTCTCTGTTGATGGCCATTGACATTTGTTTCCAATTGTTAGCAACTATATCTATGTTAAAACAAGACATCCTTGTCCATACTTTTTTATGGCAACTACTGAGATTTCTGTAGAACATTAACTAGAAGTGGTATTTCCAGGCCTTTTAAAGCTTTCATAGATAATGTGCAATTGTTATTCAAAAAGTTTATACAGGCCCCTCACGGTGGCTCATGCCTGCCTATAATCCTAGCAATCTGGGAGGCCAAGACAAGACAGGAGGACTGCTTGAGCTAAGGAGTTTGAGACCAGCCTGAGCAAGAGTGAGACCCCGTCTTTACTAAAAAAAAAAAAAGAAATAAATTAGCTGGACAATTAAAAATATATAGAAAAAATTAGCCGGGCGTGGTAGCGCATGCCTGTAGGCCCAGGCTGAGGCAGGAGGATCCTCTGAGCCCAGGAGTTTGAGGTTGCTGTGAGCTAGGCTGACGCCATGGCACTCTAGCTGGGGCAACAGAGTGAGACTCTGTCTCAAAAAAAAAAAACAAAACAAAAACAGTTTATACAAATTTATGCCCATGGTACAAATTTATTAACTTTTAAAGAGTGAATTTTTGCCCTTGAAGCATTTAAAGATTTGCTGGGCTTGCACTGTATTGGTGGGGATTTAAAGGACGGAAAGGTTTTGTTCCTGTCCCATCCAGGAGCTGCTCAGAGCAGGGCAGGGTTAGGGTACTCAGGGGCCTGAGGGCCTGAGAGGTCAGTCTGCTCTGCAGGGTGGCTGTGCTGCCATGGGGGTTGGGGTGCTTAGGAATGCTGACTTTGAAATCTGGTTAGGTTTTTGCTAGGATTGTGAATTTTAGAAAGAGGAAATGCAGGGCAAATTGTCATCTCAGAAGAAAGGCATTTTAAAACTCAGATACACCAAAAGTGGTGGGGGGGCACTTTTAATCTGTTGCCTTTACAAAGAAGTAAGAGGATATTGTAACAAAATGTGATAAGTCAAATGTTACTACTTCCTAGGAAAGTTATTCTCTTCTTTCTCCTCTCGCCCCCCATATGCCAATAGTGTACTCGTTTAATATCTGTTTCCCTGCTAGGCTATATACTCCTTGAGCCTAGGCATAGTGTGCATCTCCACGGTTGCACCTAGTACAGAGCCTATCACATAGTAAGAATTCAGTACATGTCTGTTGAATAAATAATGAGTGATTTAATCTTCATAAGAGGAGAAAATTAGAAGAGCGGTGATCTTCAGGCATGAAGCATCTTAGCAGGTTATGTGGGGGTCAGGCTGCAGACTGAAATTTTGAGTAAATAGCAGGGATTGTGCAGAGTGATTCCAGAGAGAGATGGGGCAGAGACTAGCTCACTAGCCTTGAGAGCTATAAAGGGAATGTGGACGTTAACCCTAGATAGGGTGAAGTTGTTGGAGAGTTTCGAGGAAGGAAATAACATGATTAGCTTTGCATTTAGAAAGATAACTATCTTAGTTCAGGCTGCTGGGTAGTTTATAAACAATAGAAATTTATATCTCACAGTTCTGGAGGCTGGGAAATCCAAGATCAAGGTGCTAGCAGATTGTGTCTGGTGAGAGCCCATTTCCTGGTTTATAGATGGTGCCTGCTTCTGTGTTTTCTCACATGGGAGAAGGGGCAGAGATCCCCCTTGGGCCTTTTTTATAAGGGCATTAATCCCATTTATGAGGGCTCTGCCCTCATGACCTAATCACCTCCCACAAGGCCCTACCTTCTAATACCATTACCTTGGGGTTAGAATTTCAACATATGAATTTGAATAAGGCACAAATATTCAGACCGTAGCAATGGCCCTGGAGCACTCATCATTTAAGAGACAGTGGGGGCCTCAGCTAAGGCTTTAGCATTGAACGTGGGAAGGAAGGCATGACTACAAGAATCTCCAGTAGCTGGGGACCAGATTTAGGGCAGCAGGGTGACTCCTGTGGGTGCAGGTAAGATAAGAACTGAAGCAGGGGAGATATTCATTTGGGCACCTGCTGAGTTTTGGTGATGGATGCAAGCATTTGGTTTTGGAGTTCAGGGTAGATAGAGGTCTTGGTTAGAAATATGGCTCTAAGGGGACATTCAGCATAAAAGATGGAAAAACAGAAACAAAAAACCACATGCAGAGTGAGGAAAGAGGGAGGGCCAAGGGTAAAATCCTAGAATTTACATGAACAAAGATGTCTGGGCACAGAATCCAGGAGGAGAAAGAAACCCGGGGGTATGAGGCTGGACAAAGGAAGGGTGGGAGATGCTCTGCAAGAAAGAAAGTACCAGATGTTGCTGAGTGGTCTTGCAGGGTGAGGAGGGAGAACAGCCCAGTCCAAGACCTGAGAATACCAGGTCTTAGATCCCAGTTTAGACTAGTATTTTCAATTTTAAGATATTGTTGGTAAAATCAACAAAACTGGAATTACTACTTAGGTAAC